GGGGGGGCATTTTATTATTTTATTTTCCATACCATATTGAGACTTCGTGTTTCTCTTGGGTTGTTGGTATTTTGAGGGCCAGCAGGCTTGTATACAGATTTGACCATGAATTTCCCTTTTTCTATAAGCTCCCAATAACATTCTATCCGCAGTATTAATTCTGGATATGGGGATAGCAATTATCATTTTTTTTGGTCTTTATCTACTAGATGATTCAGCATCTGATTTTTTTTTTTATCAGTGAAAATGGGAATTTTATTCAATTAAGAGTATTAATACAGAGATACAGCAGATAAAAACATAGACATTCCAACAGAGAATTTTTACAATAAAGCCCAAAAAATATGTTGCCTTTGAACTCCCTGTTTAGCTAGAGAAATAGCCATTCCATTTGCAGTTCTCCTAACCCATGTAAACGAAGCATTAAATTCCCTTGCTATGGTTATTATCTCCCTTAACTGATGTCTGTAGTACCAAGGAACATTGCTGCTTGAATTGGTCCAAGATATCACTGTTTTTGAGTCCCCTTCTATTTCCAAGTTCTTAAAATCTGTTTGCTTGGCAATCTTTAGCCCTTGAAGTAGAGCTAACAGTTCAGCCTTTAAAGAGTCACCTTCCCCTAAAGGTCCTGAGTACATAGCCAACACTTTGTTTGAGGAGTCTTTGATCACACCACCAATGCCTGCCATACCCGGATTTCCTATAGAGCTCCCATCAAGGTTCAGCTTTAACTTATAATTCAGCATCTGATCTTTCCATATCTTTCCTTTTTTTGTCTATGCAGTCAGCTTCTTTGGGGTCAAGGTTTATTCTGTTTTACCTCCCCATCCTTGCCATAGATGTAAGGAGGGCATATCCTCCTTGTCAGATCTTGTAGCCCAAGACTTAATCCAATCAAATGTCCCTTAATGTTTAATATATTGCATTCTTTTAGACAATAAAATGTGCACAAGGTGGAGAAGAAAAGGATTGTCTATATAATGAATAAATTGGTTGATCCACTCATGACGATTCTTTTGCCTAGTCCCTCTGCAAGTTAGCCATTTTATAGAAGGTCTCTGGCTTCAGGAGGGATGGGAACAAAATATACAGAGCAATTTTTTTATGAAATTTCATCTCCTGACCAAGGATTAAAACTTTGATGAAATTTTTGAAAATTTGAGAATTCATTCCTGTTTCAGGAGGGATAGGAACAAAAATATATAGAGCAATTAATTTTGTGCTAAGGTATAGAAAAATTAGAAAAATTCAAGTTGTTTAGATGAGGTATGACCAGAAGAGAGAAGATACAAAAAATAGGAAAAGAAAATAAAGAATTCGTTTTAAACAAAACTACTATTACTAGTTTCTGTCTGAAAGCAAAATTTTCTCCTGAAACTTTGGAGAAAATTTTGGTTTTGGCCTGGTATGAAATCTAAATCCTTGGTCCTGAATCAACTATTTGCTTAATAGGGAATTTACAGCTACTTCATTTTTTGTTTTCCCCTCCATTGAATCACAGAGAACTTTATAATTATAATTAGTCCGTGTGTCACTCTTGACAGAACTAGCCTTTGAAATGTTTTCTTCAGCAGATGGGTCAGTTGTATCTCAAACATGTAAGGAGCCAAGTTTCAGTTCAAGGAAGGGGCATGACATGAAGCTTGATGAGGCTGAACTTGATGACTTGAACACTTACCCATATGAACGCTTGAAGGTGACATCAGACGACCCAGTACAGGGCATAGATGTGACTAGAAGAGAGGTATCACTTTTTAATAAACCCTCCTTCAGTGGATGGTTTAGACATTCCAAAAGAAGTTATTTTTGGTTAGTGTAATATTAATATGTTTGATAAGTAAACTATTTCATTCATCAAAACTCTTTGCAATCTCTGATATATGGTTTGATCCTTGTCAGTCTTTAAATGTGTGTGTTTGTGTGGTGGGGGGGRGGGGGGGGGGGTCTGTGTATTTTCCTCCATGAGTCTTTAAATTTATAATTATATGTTGGTTCTTCCTCTTAATCATATTTATGATAAAAACAAGATATTTTAATGCTACTTGGTACTGTCCCATACTTGAGCATGTAATGCTGCAAGTCTTACTGGTTAAAGGATTTATGTTTTGACCAAGTGAGAAGGAATAATAGTTAGTGCATATAAACCATTTAAGGGAACTCATCCACTTAAAGCTTCTCATGGTTGTTATTATGTTTGCTTTCTTCAATAGCTTTCTGGCCCTTCTGGACATTTTGCTTTTCCTCGTGAGTAGTTAATTTTGGAATTGTGCTCTAAGTAGTTCCAATGTTGCTGCCACCTTAGTAAATACTTTTTTTAAGATGTCTGCACTTCTGGTGATATGCAGGCATATCTATCTCATGAAGAATTCCAAGTGATGTTTGGGATGACAAAAAGAGCCTTCTATGAGCTTCCTAAATGGAGACAGAACAAACACAAGATAAGCCTTAATCTTTTCTAGAAAATTTGACCTGGAATCACAGATAGGTGCCTGCATCAGTTTGTGGAAATGCATCTCTCTCTGGATAACCTGTGGATGGTTTTCCATCTAAACTTTTTATCATCTCTGAAAAAGCACTTGGTACATCCTGGCAATAGTCAATGATTCAGTTTGCTACCTAAAAAATCCCCATGGTTAGAATAACTATTAAGAGATCTTCTATTGCATATTTCAGTTTAGACCAAAATGAAATTTATCCATAAAAACTTCTTGTTGCTTTGAGACTAAGACAAACCTATAGGTAAGCCACAGGAAGACTCAAGGATTACGACTGCTAAAATAACTCTAATGACACTTAAACAAGTCCTATTAAAACTAAAGAAATAAAAAACAACTCCAAGATTGACCCAAAGAAATAGGAGACCAAATCCTAATTAATATCGTGGTCTTATTGGATGGATAACTCAATGACGTGTCTAGCTATACTATAAGTCATGAAAAATGGACGAGACCCTGAAAAACAGGTTATAAGAAAAATGACGTGGTTGCATATTCAGATTCTCAAAAATGCAAAACCTCTCTGACATGACTTTAAATTAATTTGACCTTTTAATTAATCCTATTTCTGAGCACTAACGAAGCAGAAAATAAATTTGAAGATTCAGAATATTAAAATTCAGAGCACCAAAAATCATGGGAATGCGACCATTTTTCTGCTTCAATGCCTAGTTGCCTACATCATATTCCCTCTGTTCCCACAAACAAAGGGTCGTCCACGAATTTTCAAGTAATTGTTCCAAGTCACGAATTATGGATTCAGTAATGGGAACCGTAGGGATGAAAATAATAGCAAATCAATTCTCCTCAAAGGCTTTATTAAACTATTTTTAGTCATTTCTAGCTTTAAGAATATATATATTATCTCTGATGCTTTACAAATTTCAGCTATTTTTTGGCACTCTCTAGTTATATCTCTCTGCATTCATCTTGAATTTCTAGCATTTCTTGTGTGGTTTTGCCTCGTGCTTAAAGAATAAGCCTCGAAAATTGAAATTAGTTTTTTTGGCAAGCATAAGGTAGTAGGGTAGCTGTCCAGCTAATCTCTATGATTGACTTTAGTACCAAATTAATGTAGGATGAAAAAGAAAATCTTTCTCAAATGAACTTGGTATGTGAAAAGGAACCAATAATCTAATCCATAGAGAAAACATTCAAGTTCAAAATAGAGAAGAGAAGAAGTTTGTATGAAATAAGAAAAATAAGAGTCTATCTTACGTTAATTGGTGTTAAAGCATTCCGTTCTATATCAATTTAGTGCTATTTTAGTTAATGTTTGTTTTCATCATGGTTTTAAAAACCAACCCTAATGGAACCATTTTGGCCACTGGTTCCTGGGTCAAACGGTCCAAACGTCTTATTTAAAATTTGATTGGATGATTTCGGGGTCTAAAACTAGATCTGAAGCTATGACCAGTTTTTGGATAAATCAGTCCGATCATCAGATCCGGTCCGGTTTTCAAAACCATGGTTTTTTAAGACATAATATATAGCATGCAATACTTAAATGAGTTAAATCTTCCTCCTCTAAGATGACGCCGGATCCCACATATTGTAAGCATGACCGCCGTCACCTTGTGACCCCAATGACAATGTACAATACTAAATATGTTTGATATGTGCATCTATAGTTTAGTTTCTTTTTTATTTTTATTCCATCGGGCTACACCCACGCCCACCCTGGTGGCAGCGGGAGGGTATAAATCATGTTGATAGCAGATCATGACTCCTATGACTTGTGTTTATGCAGGGGTGTTGGTCACGAGGCTGTCAGTTCTGCATACATTTGGTTACCTTTTTCTTCTTTTCGGGCTTGTGAAGTGAAGCTCAGTTTTAGCCAAATTAGGAAGAGAAAATTATGCATTTTAAAGGTCATTACCCTACACAATGTTGTTCCCAGTTATCCAACAATTAAAACAGTCGTCTCTTAGGCTGTTTGGTTTAAAGGAAAAAGTAGGGAAACTTTTACAAACCTTGTTTAGCTCTCTACTTTTGTTACATTTTCCCATGGTTTTCAAAACCATACTGGACCGGACGGTTGGATTGGAAAAACCAGGAACCGGTCATCTGATCGGTTCCGTTTTTCCCCAAAACCATTTTTTCCCCGAAACCGTTGATTTTGGTCAGCAAACTGCTGAACCGGCCAGTTAACTGTTCGAATGGTTTTGACCATTTTTCAGTTTTTTTTATTTTTTTGTCAGAATGGGCCGGTCGTTCAGGTCGAACAATCGGACCGTTTGAACCGGTAACCAGACCCCTGACCGGTTCAGTCACCAGTTCGGTTTTAAAAACCATGCATTTTCCTTCAAACCAATCATATTCTTAGGGAAACCTTTCCCTTCCTTTCTTTTAAACGGAATACAGCCTTAATATATGGAGTACCAGTGACCCTAAAAATCAATACACAACATCCAATACAGGATGATACATATTGATATTTTGAATCTTAAATTTTGTAGGTCAGAGAGTAAGATTTTGCCTTTACACCAAACAATGGCCCTCGAAGAGAAAATTACGCATCAAACCCTCAAATGCAATTTTCCTGTGTATTTGTTTTGAGTAAATTTCATTAACCTTCCCATGTTTTCAAAAAAAAACTTTACTAATCTCCCTATTTTTTGAAAAAAAAAAAAAAAGTTCTTTCCATCCTATTTTCATCACTCACCTCGTAAATCTATCAATGTGTGTGTGCGCGCGCACGCACAGGAACTCCAACAAACAATTTTACGTAACTCTTAGAAACTTTGCCCTAATGGGGGACCCAACTAAAATGATTTTGGGCCCAGGCCCAGTTCATCTTACATATAAGCAGCCAAGCCTGGTGGTCACGCTTGGACAGAAAACGAAGGCCCAGTTCCGAAAATTCATGGGCTAGACTAACTCACTAACAATGATCACTCCTACCAACAGGACCTCAGGGCATTTCTGTGTTTGAGCATTTTCCACTTGTGAGGATTTAAGAAATCTGCTTTTTTTTTTTTCTTTTTCCTTTTTTCGTTTTTGGTCCTTCGTGATGTCTGCCTTGGATTAGTTTCTTTATAATCCTGTTCACTTTAAATCTGGAGGGCCAATCACGATATAACATATCCCACGTGTACAGAGCTCTCCCAGTACTATAGTAAACTGTGGACGATTAAAACTCGTTTCCACTTTCTATTATCGTCTTGCAAAAAGTGGAATTAGAACAATTCTTTGTACTTGTGATTTATGCTTTTTTGTTGTTATGTGGCAGCTAAGAGAGGCTGATATCCGACTAATCTTCGTATTTCATTTATAGAATTTTCTATATTGGATACATGAACCTTACAAACGGATTATTGTTTGTTGTAGAACAGTAAGTAGAAGATGCCCCACACAAGACACATACTCCCAGTTACCCATTGAGTAGGTTGAATCATTGCTTCAAAAGGCTAAAGGCGGAGGAGAGGCGGTTGGGTCTCATAAGGGCGAGGTGTAAGTCCCAAGGCGTTTTGAGGCGTAAGCCTCGAGCAAAAGAAAATAAATATATTCATAAACAATAAAGACATGAAAAAATAAAATTAAGATCTTATATGACTTGTTTAATATATTAGACCCAAAATTAGTATCAATACACCCCAATGAACCATGCACATCTTTTTAATTATTAAAAAGAGTTTTTTAAATACCTTAAAAATGGGTAGCAGTACCCCGAAGATACAATGGTATATGGTATCAATACTTTGAACATTGCATGGTTAGAATCTTAACATAATAGTTTTTTCCCTAAAATCTGAACACTAGAACAAAACAATATAGTCAAATCTTTAAGCTCAGGGGTATGAACCAATAGTGTTTTCAGAATAAAGCATTCTCATTTGGTTTCTTGCACTTGTATGCATTAATATGTGATGCAAAATAGATCATCAAATATGGGGTAAGTGGGCAAGTAGATAAGAATAAAGCATGAACAATAAGAATATGAACTAAAGCAAGCTATTTTTTTATACATTTATATGCATTTATTAATTATTTGTATGCTTATGTATTTGTTCAAAACGCCAACAAAACAAAGCATTTTTCTTAAATTTCTATTTTACCCCTATTTAAACCTTCATATTTAACATAAGAATGCCAAATAGTTGAGGCCTAAGCCTTTAAACATTTTGAGGCCGAAGGCCCAAAGGCTTAAGCCTCGAACAACTTAAGGCCTAAGCCTGCTAGTGGGGTCTGAGGCTATTAAGGCCAGGCCTTTTTTTCTTAGCCTCGCCTCAAGGCTTGGGCCTTTCCCGTATAGTGTCATCATTCTGTCTCTGTGATATATGTGCGTTTGTACTTCCACTTCAACCTCCCAATAGGTAACCTTTGGTTTTCCCAACAGTAGACTTAGTGCCTGTTTGAGAGAGGGCTGAGCTGAAGATTCAACTAAGCTTTCAGTTGCATTGAGACGCTCCGGAATTGGGATAAGCTACCTACTAAAGAGGCTGAAGCGTAAAACCCAAAAAAAAAAGACCGACTGCCAGCCAATTTTGGCTCTATTCTTTCACCACAGCATAAAAATGCTTCCAATTTGGGCTCTCCAATTTGCACTTCATCCCTCTCATCAGCTGCTTTGAAGTGTTCCGGATAAGCCATGGTCCAATGTAAACAGCCCAAAAAATGACTGACAGATGATTTGGATCCGGAGGATTTTCATCAAACATAGCTTAAAGGCTGTTCATGTGGGGGCTCACCTTGAAAAACAGAAGCAGCTGGGATTTTGTGCAGCGCCTTCTGGCTTTACAAGGTAGACTCCTATAAGTTGTATGTTTGCTGAAAAATAAAAAAATAAAAAAAAGCCTAAATATGTCGTCGTTCAGCAAAAGGAAAAAAAAAAAAAAAAGGTTTTCTGGTAAATCTTCTTTTACTGGCTTCTTCAAATTTCAAAACGGTTCTGTGAAAGCAATTCAATGAAAGCTTCAACCCTCCTAAAATGGGCCCTTAATACTGAATTAGGATTTGTTACTCACAAAATCAGTCTTCACACCCACACAGCTTTTACAGCCGCATTTGAGTCCCTCCAAATGGGTTTCTTTCATCATGTGGTCAGGTTCATTGTTCAGAAAATGGGGTTTTTAAACTAACCACGTAAGCAAAGAATCCCACCAAATAATACGACTATATATTATTTTTCTTAAAATTTTTCAATACACGGTGGATGTGCATGTGAGGCGCCCAACTGTGAGGAGCAGATCCGTTCCCAAAAGCATGAGGTCTTAGGTCTTGGTCTCTAAAACCGATAAGGCTTCAATCGGCTTCATGACTGTGTTTAGATAACCACACACTAACCTGACAGAAAGAATCTTTCCAGACAATTGAAATAGAGAGAGGTGGGTCCCATTGTTCCGACAGTCCCCTCTCCCATTTCTTTCACCTCTCCAAAATTCATACTCATTCTCTACTTTGAGTAAAGGCAACGCTGATTGTTGTTTTGTTCAAATTTCAAACCAAAAATTCCGAAACTACTAATTGCCTGATAACTTCTACTTTTTCTCACACTATACCCACTTAAATTTATATTTGTTTTCTACGGTTATGCAGAAAAGAAAAAAAAAAGAAAGAAAGAATATCTATTGTAGATGCAGCAACTAGAGTAAATTATTGGGTAATTTTCTTTTTTTTTAGTTCATTGTTTGTTATATCAGTTGAGAGATTAATTATTCAATCTAAAATAATTAATTATTTATTTATTTATTAAAAATTGCTCAATGAGTAAAAAGCAACTGAAAACAAACTCCATTTGTGTAAGCATGTAAAGAATATAACTTTTTATTATATTTCATTAATATTAGAAAATACAAGATTATAGTCTAACAATTTTTTTATAATATTTATAAAGTGAGAATCATTACATATTTTGTATAGATAGGGTTTGAAGTTTAAACATTAGATATCATGCAATTAGATAACCAACAAATTTTTATATTTTTATTACAACAACAAACCTTTTTAACCATTACAGCTCTATTCTAATTTCAATAAATGAAGAATATTATCATAAAATTAATTTTTTAGTATCATTAGTTTCTAAACTCAAGTACCCATTTTATTAAAAAACGAAAAAAAAATATTGATCTTGCGATGTACAATTAATGTTAAAGAATACATTAGAAATTAGGGAAATTGTCTAAAACTCACCATGAGTTTTTAACATTTCCCTCAATATCACCACAACTTTTCAAAATGTCTAAAACTCACCATGCCATTAAGTTTTTATTTTCCAAAACTCACCTTCTGTTAATGCTTCTTAACAGAGGTGTTCATGTCAACATAAATAACAATTTTCATGACCAAATTATCCTTGAATAGTGAGTTAGAGGAAAAATGGTCTTTTTCAGTTTTTTATTTTCTTTTTTTTTGCATTTTTAGTATTTTGTTATAATTTCTAATTTTTTTATAATTTCTGTTTTTTTACATTTTCTATTTTCTACAATCTATAAATTTTCCTGTATTTTTGTTATTTATTTGTAATTTTTGTGTTTTTCTATATTTTTTGTGTTTTTTCTACAATTTTTATTTTCTGATTTTTTTTTCAATTTCTATAGTTTCTATATTTTGAAAAAAAAAATTGTTTAAAATTTTTTATAATTTTTTATATTTTTTGTAATTTCTATGTTTTTATATATTTTATATTTGAAAATATTTTTTAAATTTTTTTCTTTTTTTCATGTCTAAATATTAAAATGGTAATATATTAACACCTGTTAATTTATTTTGTATATATTTTATATGAAGATTAAAATGGTAATATATTAACACCCGTTAGTCTGTTTAACGTCAAGTTAGWGACATGGTGAGTTTTAGACATTTTGAAAAGTTGTGGTGAGTTTAAGAGAAATGCTGAAAACTCGTGGTGAGTTTTGGACAATTTCCCTAGAAATTAATATATATATATAGAGAGAGAGAGAGAGAGAGAGAGAATCACTCTTGTAGTTAAGTAAATCTATAAAACCTCTTAATTAACTGTTATAAAAAAACTAAACACAACCATCCATCTGGTTAGTCAGTAGTCACTAGTTAATTCAAAACAAGTGTTAGCCCCAATTGTTAACCTGTTGGTAAAGCCTCAGGCCAGTGCCTGGATGTAGTGAAGACCTGGGATTGAGACCCTGCTTTAAGTCGGGATCTGCTCCTTATAAAACCTGTTCTGACACGCTTCCAAACTGCACCTCACACCATGAAACTGAGACCTACGATGCACGGGATGTGCAGTGTCAGGTCATGTTGGAAGTGTGTTAGAACGCATTTTGTTGGAATAGATTCCCCGACTTCACCCAGGTTAGGAGAGTTTGGGTTTGGGCCAGGGCAGCCCTGTTGTGTAGCCCATTTAAAAAAAAATATATACTAAAACTTTTATAAAAGATGTGTTCTCAGATTTGTAGGCACGAGCCAAGATGAACAAATTAAAATTATCAATTGTTGGGGGAGCTGAGGTCAAATTAGGCCTGATAGTACAACCATTAGAGAAGCAGCCCACTTGCTTCATCTGTAATGGTCTCAAAATCCACAACCGGGTGGGACCTTCCAACCCTCTAGTGCCCTCGTTCAAGATTTGGGGATGAATAATTGAATATGTTCCGTGGAAAGAGTGGTTTGGTGTTGATAATTTTCAGACAGAAGGCAGGGAGTATGTTAAATAGGCTATTTTATTTTACTTTTATTATTCATTTACTTGTAATAAAGAGATAACTAGGGACTCGTGTCACAAATTTCCAAACATTTTCGAAAATGGAATACGAGGGTGGTAACACTGGTTAATGATTATTCAGCTTCTGTTTTTGGAACCATGTTCATGTAGGTAGTTGTTGAAACTTGAAAATTTTAAAAACCCCAGAAAGAAAATCAAGGGTAGGGTCAGGGTAGGAGGTAGACAAAGTATTTGAATTGAAGCAGACTGCAGAGTATTCTTTGACGTTACTATCTTATTCTTCTCGTCCCCCTGAAGTCCCAGAAGGCCAGAACAGAAGAGAAGAGTAGTGAAATGTGACTTTACGACCCACACCCACTCCCTCCGTCGTGCATCAATATATATTTATGTACTTTTAGGGGCATATATTCGCCTCAAAAGATGCCTTTGGTTGCCCTGCCTGGTAGGGCTGATGCTTGGAACCATTCGAGTTGAATGCACAAATGAGAAGGCCAAGAAGGTATCCGATGGCTAGCCCCACCCCAACCAAGGTTCACTGAATCCAACGCGCTCTCTCTCTCTCTCTCTCCGTTCTCCAGAGCAAGTTCCCTAGACACTGACATCTCGGAACTTCACGTGCCGGTGCTCCCACCGCGCTACCCTAATACTAATCATTCATTTGCCTTTCGCCTACCCATCGTGCTCAGCTCCTTTTTCCAGCTCACCGCCTCTCCCTTTCGGCCACAGGGGAGCGATGAGGAAGCCAAATCTAGACCGCCCATCACATAAATAACTCGTTTGGACTGGTCAGATTTTTCGGCAACACAATTGGGGCATTGTGCCATCTTCGGCCTTTCGCCCAACCCTCACTTTCAATTTTACTTGGGTAAGCGGCAACCATTAATAGTAGTTGGGTTGGTTGAGTTGTAAAGCCAGCCGTTGAAAATGGAAACTCTTATTATTATTATTATTATTATTATTATTATTATTATTATTATTATTATTATTATTATTATTATTATTATTTTCTATCTTTTGAAAACAGAAAAGTTTTGACTTTTGAAATTTGATGAAAATGAGACGATGTAGGCTGAGCCGCTGAGGGAGTGAACAGGTGGAGGTGGGGTGGCTGATCGAAACTTGAAACCTCCCCCATTGCCACTTGATACCCTTTCTTTATATGAAGACTGAAAGATCCCATATCACGGACACTGACACTTGTACTCACAAGGTCCTGGCAATGGCTTCAAATACGCTCTAGAAGACAAACTAAACCAATGCAATAACTGAGGGAAATACGAGAGGAAAATATTTTCATTCAGCCGCTTGTATTCCTAGCCCTTGGCCCCTTGTATGTTATTATATGAAATAAAACTTTGAGCCCCTTTTAAATGTAAGCAAATCACAATAGCTTCTTTAGCATGTAGATGTAGGTGAATCAAAAAAAACTATAAACAAGAAGTTGGATAATTAGTAATTTCTACTCCCTGAAGGCTGAAACAGAAGATGGGAATTGGGAAAGTGCTTTTTTAGTTTTGTTTTTTCAAGTTTACCAAACATTGCATTTCCAGACATAATATTTGAGATTTGCATGAATACAAGTTCACCAAATGGTATAGATTCTGAACCGAGGATTGAGGAATGTTTGGCACATGCCTAACCGGTTTTAGTAATAGTACAAATGGCCATGAAAATAATTTAGCTGCCAACCCATCTGATACACTATACATAAACCGTAGATGCATGTCTTACAGATCACCATGAAAACTGCCTGCTTTGCCAATCTCCAGCCGGTCAAGTTTCCAAGTAAAGAATAAGCGGTGACATCTTCAGCTAGTGAACAAAACCCATAAGATCACCTGCCATGCTGACTGGCTGGAGAGGATCGACCACCTCTCTCACCTCTTTCGCTCCCAAGATCATCATCTCCTATGTCACTCCCATCCAAGCAGAGAGCATTGTTATTGACACTTTCAGAACTGGCATTACTGCTTGTGGCAAGAGGGGAGTCTGAAACACTGACTGTCCTGCTCCTTGCTGGCCCAGATCTCACACTATACATGGACGAGGCTGGAATGTTTGTCATCAAAGGTCGAAGGCTACCTGGTATACTTCTCCTTATATCCTGTTCAAAAGGAAATCCATAAATTGGAATGTGCCAAAGCCAAATGGTTCATAGAGGTCACACCTCTACTTTTGTTTAATAAAAGCTATTACGGGTACCCAAAAAAAATGTTGTAATGGCACCAACCAGCTACATTCCAAGGAGAAGGAACAACCAATTAATGCACATGCATGGGGATGGTGGTGTGAATAGATCGTGTCACCATATCAAATCCATTCTAGGGGAGACTCATTAAGTGGTCAACCTTAACAGAATCTTACCCAAGTTTGGGTGTATGGACCTGTAATTCTAAATTCTAGAACTTGACAAATTATAAATATTTGAGATATTTAAACACAAAGCTATATTTAACATTATGATCTTTGAAAAAATAAATTTCTGTGAATGAAGAACACTCAATTAAGCCATATCCAATTAGATTAGCTAGAAAAGACAAGTGTCAAATGATATGGCTTCTCTTGGGGTTTTTCAAGGATTTTTGGAATGTCATGCATGTACCTTCTGCATGGATAATCATTTTGGCGACCTACCTGGTTACTAGGTAAAAGGGAAAAGAATTACATACCATATGCCTCAGAGCCATATCTAATGATTTCTTTGAAAGTGTTCTCCCAAAGCCTGAGCTATCTGGGGACGATGTGGACTTCCCTGCAGAGTTGGAAGAGCGGTCATCTAGCCTTGAGGGAGCCAATTTTCGCATGTTTATTACCCTTTCAACCATCTTTGTTCCAATAAGAACAGGGCTCACATTGTCACTACCATTTGAATGTGATCGACTCACTGCAGGAACAGAACTCCCACTACTATGGATAMTACCATTGGGAGCCCGGCCTCGTGAAGGAGAACATGATTGTYGTCTAGGTCTTCCATTAGAACCAGGCTCAACAGAAGATGATCGAGAGCTCGGAGCTCCAGGCCTACCTCTAGAGGTTGAAACTGGCCTTTTTGGCATTGATGTCCTTAAATTTGGAGGAGCATCCAGTGAGAAACCAGGCATCTCTGATGGCTTCCAAGGTCTGGATTTAACAGTTGGTGAAGTGCCACGTGATGGCACTGGATTTCTTGCTGCTGTTGGAGCTGGCTTGGTGACTGCTGCTGTTGGAGCTGGCTTGGTGACTGCTGCTGTTGGAGCTGACTTGGAGATTGAAGAAGACCGCGCAGGAGGAGCAGAGACAGTAGATACACTGGATGGTGTTGATGGTCGACGTGTTGGTGTTGCTGACCTTGATGTAGATTTGGATGCTGGAATTGAGGATCTGGCTGTTGGAGTTGAAGACCGAGCAGTAGATCGTGAGGAAGGGGTTGACGATCTTGCAGGAGCTGCTGGAGCTGTGGACTTAGAAGAAGGCAAAGTGGCCCTCGAAGTAGGAGTAGAAGGTCTCAAGGGTTTTGCTGTCATGGGTTTTGCTGTTGTGGATAATGTTGGCCGCCCAGTTGGTGTTGCAGGTCTAGATGCAGTTGAACCTGGTCCTCCTGATGATGAAGGCCTGCGTGTTCCTGCACTGGAGGAATTCAACCCAGGAGACAATGTAGGCCTAGATAAATTGCCCCTTGAAGCAGGTTCTGTTTGGGGATTTGCCAACTGCAGGGACGAGTTTTAATCAAAAGATCATCAAGAATAAATTAAACTGCAAGGATCTCAGCATAGCTTTTTTCTTGAATACTAGGTGTAGTAATAATTAGGATCAACTCTATCATTTTGCAACTCAGAGTGCAAATAAAGCTCCCAAGTTTTGGTTCTCCCTTATACCAGCATTTAACCACATGATATAAAGCCCAAAAATGCAATGAGTTGAGATTGAAGTTTACAGAGGCTGCAGTAACCAATACTAGAATAGGCATATATAAAAGCAATTCTAAAACATATGAAAATCTAACTCCAGTCTTGTTGGACAAAATTTATATTCTAAGGGTGCAACTCTAAACTTGACATCTTCAAAGGGATACACCCACCAACACAGTTTCCGAAATATCTTAATAGTTCAACAGTTTTATCAATCAACCTGGTGATTCCGGATGTTTGTATGTTGGCTTATGCATGTTATATTCACAGTATCTAGAAGTTTATTACAAGATCAGGTTTGTCACTCACTGCCCTAGAGGCCACAATTAAGGTTATCATTGAGGCAATAACACAGTAAGCAACAGCGAATTGCATATAAACTAATCAACAACTTATTTAATATCTAGCAAAAAATATATAAGAATATACAGTTATTTATATAATTAAAAGGTAAAAGTCACCAAATCGTGTTTAATACATAAATCTAGGTATTATTATGTTATTATGTTATTAATAGCATAAAGATACTAAATGATGTAATCCATTGCCTAACACTGTAAAGCCACCTAAGAACCTCAATGGCCACCTTAGACAGAAGCATCCACACCGTAAGTGTAATGAATTGATGTATATGATTAGTAGGAATGTTAATGTCATGGGCCAACCAACTATAAATAATACATATAACAGCATGTACAAATTTAGCAGCAGATCCAATTAATGCCCCCCATGGGTTAAGATTCTTACCCTAGACTTCAGAGCAGTTGGCCTAGCTTTGGGAGTGCCAAGCTGACTCATAATGGTTTTCTGAGATTCCATCTCCAGTGAAGGAAAAAGAGGAGTACCAGGTGGTGTAAGAAGCCTGAAAACCAAAGAGAATTCAATAAATACCAAATCAAAAGATATGTCCAAACCCTTGTGTTCATCAAGCTAAATTTGATCTAGAATAGTCCCAATACATCCTTTATCATAAATTCCTATCAAAACTATCAAATGTACATAAAAATTATTGTCAGAAATCTTTTTTCTTTTTGAGAGAGAAAGAGATAGAGAGAGAGAGATGACATGGGTGTAAAAAAATATCAAAATTGTGAGAATATATGTGAGGGTGTGTGGGGATGCACAATGCAAGGACAGCTGGTCAACCCACTATAAAAAGTATGTAAACTGATCAGTATAGAGATCCTACTGTTTAATAACAAAAATAATAATAATAAACCCTCCTAACCCAAAAGTACCAGCAGTGTCTATTACAAAATTCAGCATCCTAGGAATTTTGCACTTTCTGAAAGTGTATGAAGCTTATGCCTTGAGGTGTTTGTATTGCACATGTTATTTATGCATTTAGTTAAACTATAACTAAGGTCAAAAAGGACCTGGTGTCTCTTTTCATGCCCAGATCACATTAACCATTGGGTCAACTTGCATGTTGGACAAGATCTCCAGAATCTTGTTCAGGAGATGCATTTGTTATTTATTGCTGAAATGCTTGAAAACTAATTGCTGACACTCCTGAGCAATGACAATGGTATTCTCATGGGGATGGTTTATTGAGAGAATGGCCTCCAGATCTGCTTCTTGGAGGGTGTTGGGAACATCAGAGGTACAGGATAGATAGGAAAAAGAAAGCAAAAACAAAAACAATGGGGCATTGAAGAAGTTCAACTACAACAGAAACGCAAATTGATGTCCTAGCAATAAGCTAGAGGGAGTGAATGAAAAATAAAAAGAGAGACCTTCAACTCTGTTGAGGAGTAAAAATATCTGGAGTCAGGAATCAAAACCAAACCACAACTAACAGAAGACCTATTAGTGAACCCGACCTCACTGTCAACAAAAGCTGTATTGAAAGATTGTCAAATGTAGTTAGATGATGTTCCCCAACCTAGAGGAGCTAATGAATTCATTGGCTCAAATGCAGATACAATGAGGTGATAATAAGGCTTATATATCGCAATGCTCCTATATACATGCTTAATGAAGCTTCTACAATACAATTTTCTGAGCATTTATGGCAACCTATGGATTTCTAAGGCTTCCAAACATATCATGCCATTCCTCTTCACACAAATTTCAAGGGAGATCTTTTACCAAGGAAGCCAATAAAATGGATTAGTCACTGAGAAAGGAAGTTGCCCATCTACTAACTACCGTAGGATATTTACTTAAAATATACTCTCTAACTTTGCTTTCTCATTTTAATCCATAAAGATGAATAGTCCACCAATGGAAGACGAACTAATCATCTAAGACAGGACCATTAAGCTAGATGAACAATTGGGCACTGTATCCCTCTCTTTCCTTGTTAATACAAATTATAGTTTGAACTAAAGAAAAACAGGCCTTTCTGAACTTGGGAAAGCTAATTTTACTTCATGACATTCTCTGAGAAGATAATAGCAATTTATGTATTCCCAATTTATAGGGAAAAAATGCTACTAAAGGATCAACCTTAATGCAAATTGAAGACACATTTCCACATTACCAATCATAATCATTTTTGTCATTGTCAGAATTCAGGAAATCATCAGCACCAGTCTTGCGGGCAGGAGTAGACGATACGATCTTGAATATGGGAGAACTTCCAGGTTTAGATCCTGTAGCCAAAAAAATGTGAGGTAAAAGTAAAACTAAAGGACTGAACAGAAAAATTTTCATTAGCCTCACACGATCACTTTGCAGTACTCATCAAAGAGGAAAATCAGATTGGTACTTTGAAATTCCACTATAAAGCTTATAGGAATTACCCTCGTTGTATGTTATTGGCAGTGCAAGAATTTGTTCTGAGACTTTTACAAAAGGTTTAAAAAAATGAGGGCAAACACTTGAAATTACAAGAATGTATTATTTCTAAAAACGGACTACTAAAATGTTCAACGCTGGACACCCCATTCACAGATCAATTAACAGTAAGCTAAAGCACAAAATCTTCAACTCGTAAATGAATAATGAAAAACCTAACGTCACCAAGGAACAGCAAAAGCTTACCTAGAGGCGCGTCAAACTCCTCTGAGTTCTGAAGCAGAAGAAGATTGTTCCGCTCCTTCTCGCGTTTCCGCATCTCGAGAAACAAAGCGAGCTCCTCTTCCTTCTCCTTCATTACACTACCAAGATTCCTCCCTTGCTGTCTCTGCTGTATGGACGCCTGCATTTGCGATTCCTGAGCCCGGAAACTGCGATTCATAGCCGAACCTAGCTTCTACCAACAGAAACGAGTGAAAGAGAGAAATCTCCCACCTAAAACCTAACTTCTCATCTACTTCTCCGAGGACAACCGGTTCCACGCCAGACAGAAACCCTCAAATTTCACAAAAGGCCAAATCAAGAAAGACAGATCAGACGCATAGCTCGAAAGCTGTAAACAGAAAAAGAGAAACTTGAAGAAAACGAAACGGCATTTCCAGGTGCTTGAACGATAAAAGCTTTCTCTACTTCCCGATCTCTGCCGTTACTGCACCATTCCTACCACACCAGTTTCCACGCCGCTAGATTTCATATGGAAACCGTTAGAACGAATCCACCGCCAATGTCGCAAAATCAGAGCTCGGAGAGATGGAGAGATCTGAACACAGAGCTCCGGAGCTTTAAAAGATGAAAATGCGAGATGAGTGAAATAAAAGCCAGTTGATTTTGTAATATTTTGCTGTGCTGTTGTTGGGACTTCGGACTCTGCGATTCGAACGATGTGAGCTTTTAGGGGAGAGACAATGGAAGATCAGGAGCCCGTTTTGTTTTTTGATTTCTTTAGACCGGGACAAGAGGAGCAACAACAACAGCTCTCTCTCTCTCTCTAGTCTGTGTTTTCTCTCACTTGAAGCCTACGTTTTCAGATTTTTAAAATAGGAATACAAAATTGAATTTAATAGAAGCTTTAATGGACTGACTTAAAAACACCCGCCTTTGTGAGCATAATTACGCAAACACCCTTCCTCTTTTGAATGATTCAATGATCTCTCGCGCTTGCTTCAGCACAGTGCCGAGTCAACAAATTCTTTGGGACCCACCATGATATGATGATCTGAGCCGCCCAAATAAGTCCTAAATGGGAGACTTTAATGCTGAGCATGGCATGTGATGTAGATGCCCAAGATGTTACAGTGTTACCAATTTCATATTGTACCACCCAGAGATTTTACCGTGCAGCTGCTTCTGCCACGTGGCAAAAAGAGAGCCTCTTTTGAATTTCAAAATGAAGACGCACCGATCAAGGGGGATGCTGTCAGATGGGACTTTGGTTCCAGTACAAGGTGGGGCATGGTGTTAAGCTAGATCCTAATCCGACGTCAGGAAGGAAAGTACTCCACTACTCCTCATGTGAGTAACCCCTCAAAAAATCAAAATGCTTCCAACAATTTTTAGGAATTGGGCGGCGTGCAAGACACGTCATGGCCTCATGGGAGTGGTGGATGGAGCAGAGCAAAGTAGTGTTACTGTATAAAATATAAATCGACGATCCAATAAAAATAATACTTTGAAGATACGATGAATCAGCCTTTTGATGTATTCCACGTGTCTTACTAACAATATGGTTAAAACTTAAAAGTGATAGTCCCCACTGATTGGTGAAACTTTGAATCATGGGGAAGTGGGTAGCTTCCACGAACTATTTTACTCATTTAAGGTGGTTCTGGTTTGATCCCATTCCTTCGAGCATTTTACATTGTATGCCTGGATTTTATGGTGTGTTTGGTTAATTTGTAAAGGTTTTCTTATTTTTCTCTTTCTTTTCTTAAATATGGAAGATGTTCCCGATGTGCGGTCAAGAAAGGCTATGAGGTCAGTGTGAGGCGCATGTGTGAAGGGCAGATCCGGATTCTATCTTTTCTTTTAAAACAAATATAGTTATAAGGAATTAACAAATTAATTTTATCCTTACTGTTTGCAAAATTACTTAAACATCTCTACATTTTCTGACAATTGGATGAATAGACCTTTTTTGCTTTTCGTTGCAATTCACATCAGTACCTCACAGGGCGTGTCTCACAGCATATCACAACCGTGTATTGAGAACCATCTCAAATGTATGCTGAGATATAAATGTAAAGCACCTGTGGGGTGATGATGTAAATGTAATGTTGAATTCCATTGACATGTAATAACACGTGACTATTAATTTAAAAGAAAAATCTAATTTTGCCCTTATTCACCATTTGCAAGGACTAAAACTCTATCTCCATGGGGAAACTAGATTTAGTCCTCATAAAATTTGTTTTCGTACAGTTCTCACAACATTTACCCGTGCATTTCAAATATTTTTGTAGTTATATTTTTTCATTCATGAAATCGTGGTGAGATGCTCCCAATTCACGGCTGCAAGTGTGTGAGGACAAATTTATAAGACTGTGTTTGGTTGTAATGAAAATGTAAATATATACATTATATATTGACCCATTTTAAGGTTCATGAATACAAATATGGTTCACATTTTAAACTGTTTTTGTATTCATCTTGTTTGTTTGAAATCAGTGTAAATTGTGAGCCCATCATTAAATGCTTCAACTATCTTATGCTTCAATGCATTAACTTTGGTCAAAAAGTTAATTATCAAAAGACACAAAATTGTATCCAAAAAATAGGTACATTAATGCTCTTTTCTTAGAGTATAAAAATGTCAGAAAATACATTTTTACTCTGGTAATCATTAATTTTTTATGTATCAAACAAACGCTCACAAACGCAAACTGAGGTACATAAATACCCTGGTTCGGCATTTGTATCGCAAACAAACTGAGCCTAAAGTGCAAAATTTTGTATTTTGTATTATTAGATATGTATTTATACTGTACATATTTGTATTTGTACTCTTTCCAAATTGAGCCTAAATCCTAATTCTTTTAAGAGAGGCTAAAAAGATAGCACTCTTCTACAAACTCAAGAGGAATCAATGGCTCCGAATTCATTTGTGATAGCAAAGGCATAATAGATCAGTGCAACCAGGGAGATTTCGTCTAAGGGGGCCTTCTTTTTTTGGATTTTGAGAGGGGGAAAAGTTGGGCAATGGGATTTTGGTTCCCATTGACCAAGAATCCTATATTCATTTTTCAGATTAATGTGGGGACCAAGGAAAGTTTATTTTCCTGGGTAAGTGATACACATCTTTTAGGTGGGTAAATAACTTTCCTACCTAGGAAGAAAGTTGCTAACACTTGAATGGGACAAAAATGCCCCATTTTAATAATGGATTTTTATGACTAAAATGGGTATTACTTTATTTACCTAAGAAATAAAAGAACATGGGCAAATGCACTTAGTTAGTTAAGTGTTTTACAGGAAAAACTTACCCATGTAATTGCATTTACCTGGGTAAATAAAGTACCAAAAAAGCAAACGGGGGCCTAAATGATATTTTTGGTGGGTTTTACTCTACTCTCATGATCTCATCCATATTGGGTCTGGAGTTTTTTTTTTTCTTTTTCTTTTTTAAATAAAGTATGAACCAAAAATGTATAAAATGTTGAGAGAGGTTAGAGAAGGAGCCAGGCAGTTGTGAATAAAACGAATGAAGACCTTCTTGTTTCAATTCCTCTCAGGAGTATTGCATGATGTAACTGATTTCTCAACCATTTGTTTTTCGTTTTGCAAGAATCAAGACCTTTTGTTCTTTTTAAAGCGACTCTTGTCTAACACTTGTCTTCTAGGACTACAAATAGAATAGGGAATAGAAGCCATCTAAGAGGAAATCAGACTTGGTGCTCACAAAATTGTGCTCATACCGTTCTTGCAGCCGGCCCTTTCAGACATGCATTGAAATTTGAGAACATCTTTCCATAAATAAAAAGATACAAATATGAAAATGTTCCCAATATACTGCTGAAAATGGGCTGTGAGAACGGTGTTAGCACTAATCCGCTCTCATGCAAGCTTGAACGATGAATTGAGGCTTCAACTCAGAGAAGCTCACTGGCTTCCCTTCTCTGCTCTGCTCAACCATTCTAGAGATCGGGACTTGCAATTAATATTATCCTATACTATTAGTGAGAAAGAAGCAAAGAGCATGAGAAAAGAAAGAAACAGAGAAGTGGGAAGAACAAAGAGTGCTGTAGTAGTTAAATGAAAAGAAATAGAGCAATTTGTGCAGAATTATGTTTTAAAGATTTGGAAAAAAAAAACAATAAAGGGTAAAATAGATATTTTAATCTTCCCATCCATGCTCAGCCAAGAAAGGAATGCAGTTAGTCAATTTTGCAAAATCCAAGGGTAGTTTAAGTATTTTAGCCTTATGATTTTCTATTCTTTTGGTTGCAAATGAAATATTTTAATGCTTTGACAGATTAACTTAAAAGTCATAAACCACTTCTTCTTTACTATATACACATATTGATATATACATATAAAACATTTTTTTACAAATAACAAGTTAAAACTCACGTCAAGATTACTATTCCAGAATATTAGTTTTCTAATTATACTCATCTCATTCGCTTTCCTCTGTCTACTATACACTTTACTCTTCTCTTGCACGTGTCATTCAGTTAATTTGATATAAGGTTTCATTAATTAATAGGAGATGACGGGACGATTAATCACGATTAGTTAAGCAACGTGCCAACCAGTTGATTGATCTTTGGTAGGGTTTCTTGTTGGTCGTAGCAAGATTTGGGATGAAATCCTATCTGCACCTGGGTTAGGGGATGGATTACCCCTCGAATTGTGTAACCATTTAAAAGATATTAATAATAAATAAATAAATATTTTAACAATTATATCAAAAAAATCACAATTATCTACGATTTTTTAAAATATACTATAATTTTTGCATAAGGGAGGGATACTGTTTGGATTTTCTATTTTTAATATTTTTTGGATAATTTCATGGTTTTAATTATAACCTTAAAACTTTCAACAACTTGCTATTCAACTTACAACTTAACCGCATTTCAAAAGGAAAATTACAACTTAACCACCTTAAGTGATCTTTCTTATATCTATGATGAAGGGACAAAATTAGAAATGACAAACTGCAGTAATTATATTATAAGAGTCTCATGATCATGACTTTGGTCATGTTATTTTTCTAGAAATAATAAAGAAATCAACTTTGGTTTATTCATTAATATTAATATTGGTATTATCATATTCAATCAATCATTTTTTTTTTATATAGTGCAATGGATGCATTATAAATTAAATTTTAATGATAACTGATGTAGCGCAATCCGGTCACTCCTAATTGGCGCTCGCGTGGCTCCTGAGAGGTATCTGAGACGAGAGGAAAGAGGAAGAACTCCCGAGGGGTTTCCCGGCAGGAACACTCCGATGCTTAAGTTAGTATTGTGTGCAAGAAGCAAAAGGAGAACAAAGGCTAAGAGTGAGGATAGCGCGTTACCACTATGTTCGAAAGGTCAGAGATTCAAGGAGAAAAGGAGACTGGTTTCCCTTCTGCCCTGGGGGCTTTTTATAGGGACACTCACGCTAGGTTGGGCATAACCGCCACTGGGCTCCTGCCACAGCCGTTACCTGCCAGGGCTGCGCAGGTGGCTGCTGTGGTGCACGATTCGTCCGGGTGAGTGATGTGTTTCCAAAGTGGCAGGCACACCTTTGCCTGTCAAGAGACGTGGACGCAAACTGTCGAAAGGACTAGGACTGCGCCGTTAGTAGAGGATATAACACAGTCTAACCGGTACGGTCTGCCAGTTGGAAGCTTCCTGGAGGGCGCTAGTGCGGCTCATTCACAAACTATCTCGTGGCGAGCTTGGAACACTCCAGGATCACCCTTAGCGAGATTGGTCCTCGGAATGACTCGTCTGCTAGGGAGCTCGAACTAGCTAATAACTTTAGCTCGTGAGCTACAGTTGCCTCGGAGTATCTCTTCAAAGATAGCACGGGGAACCCGGAGTT